CCGAGGGAAACCATGGCACGCATGGGCCACGGCTTGTTTGAACAAAAGTATGCCGCGTGTAAGTTGAAGCACGCAAACCTCTGCAACTACCACCTGGTTTGTTGAGAGTAAAGAATTTTCGAACAAGTTTTATTATTATCTTCTTCCTCTATAAAGGGTCCGATTGCAGGAACTATGGAAAATCTAAGCTGAGCTTGGACCTATGCTTCATGAAAATACTATTTTGTTACGATTTGCACTTTCAAGTCTTCATTCCTTCTATTTTACTTTTACCTAGAGGCTAGAGCCACCACATTCAACAGTACTTATCTATTTATTTATTTATTTTGGAATCCTGCCTTCCAAAGAGACTCTCACCCTATCTGGAACCCTATAGGCATCTTTGGATCGTTGAAATATAACGACATGAACAGAATAATTTTATAGAAATACAAGTGTACATAGAGTAGGGGAACTGAAGAAATAATCATTCGGATACAATATAGAAAACACAGAAGATGACCGACTCCTATGCGAATGAGTGGAAAGAGAGGTTGGTGCGAATATAAAATCAATCCATAAGAATACGACAGTACTATCATGCCGGCCGTGGATATAAAGAGGGAAAAACAAAACAATGATTGAAATCCAAGTTCTACAAAAATCACACACTAGAAAAAGACCTAAATCCAACGCATGGTTTCTGAAAAAGCAGACTGTTATTGGCAAACCATTGACGAATCCCCGCACACAAATTGATCATCTAAACGTCTGAATTTTTCGTACACACGGGGAAAAAGTCCACACAAATTGCACCGTTATATGTAAAAATCATGTGTTGTTCAAATTTTTTTTTGAAACGAGGCAAAAGATTTGCCATTTTCATTGATTAAGAAGAAAAGAGTTGCCAGGTTAATTGATGGAAAACCGGGCTAAAACCGATACAACTCAACCCACATGACATGGACACTATCGGCCAACCTGGCCACCGACATGGGACACAAAGCTGCAAAGAAGAAAGGCATTTGCCGAGGAGTCACAAGCGTCATCGTCATCACTGGTTGCCTCGAACGAGCGACTCCGACTTCACCATAGAGCTCCAACCTCGAAGCCAACCTGCAAACAACTGTATAGAAGCCACGACGGCACATGCCACCGGCTGGCCACACGCGCAAGCAACTGACAGCTCCGATTTTGACGACGAGCCTCACCAGGGAAATATGCAAGACTTGCGCCGACCGTGCCCACAGAAGAGCACCTCGGACACGCCGGGAAGAACCGACTACCGAAGTCCATGCCGCGACCCGAGCTCCTCTCAACGACATCATCGTTGCCAAACAAAAACCAGCGCCCCGCCTCAGCAAACCACGCGGCGAAGATGCCGCCATCCACGGCGAAGATGCCGCAAACCACCAGTCTCCCAGTCGTAGCCGGCTCCGAGACGATGCCCCCAAGGAGGAGAAAGACGCGAAGACGCCTTCATCGTCCGACCCAGCGGATCTGAGGTTTCCTTCCGGAGTCAAAGCCGTGGGGAGGAGGAGCACACCTCCACTACGACGCTTCCAAGAAAGATTACGGCACCCGCGGGCGCCGCCGTCATCGGCTCCGAAGAAGACCGGAGCAAAGATTTCTCCTGAAGATGCGCCGACCACCTACCACCGCCGACCGCCGCCCACCAGCCACCACCTGCTGAGGCCGACCTCATTCAGGCCACGGGATCCCACGATCCACCGCAACATGACACGCACCACCCCCTGGCCGAAGCCGCCATCCACCACCGCAACACCACCGTGGCCACCACCACCGCAGCAACCCACGCCGCATCGCGAAGCACAGCATCCAGATCGATGCACCACGCACCAGATCCAATCGGAGCTGCACAGGCGAAGCAGCGGAGCAGACGAGCAGGATCCCCCTCCGCAACACACCTCGCACTCCAGAGAAGCACACCCGCCACACACAACCGGTCACCGCGCCCGACGCGCACCTGCAGCCACCGCGCCCGGCTGGTCTCCGCGCCCCACGCGCACAGCCGGATCCGAGCCGCCGCCGCACGAGCGCGCGCCATCCACGCCCTGGCCACATCAGGAGCTCGGACCGAGGCCGCCGCCCCACACCGTCCGCACCAACCGCCGCCCGCAGGATCCCAGATCGGATCGGGACCGCACGAGGCCGACGACCGTGACCGCGCGCACCGCGACGGCGCGCCCACCGATGACTTAACAGATCATGTCATGCTTGCTTACAGACCATGTTCAACCATCATAAAGCATAGGGCTGGAATATGAGATCGTTCCAGCCCTATGCTTTCTGATGACTAACAAGTCGAGCCGAGCTTTAATATGAGATCGTTCACATATACTCTCTCCGTCCGTGAATAAGTGTACATCTAGGTTTTGTCCTAAGTGAAAATTTTAAAACTTTGACCAACTTTATAGGAAAAAGTAGCAGCATTTATGGCACTAAATTAGTATTACTAGATTTGTTTTGAAATGTATTTTCATAATATACCAATTTAATGTCATATATATACTACTCCTTCCGTCCGAAAATAAGTGACTCAAGTTTATACTAACTTTCTACTAAAGCTAGTACAAAGTTGAGTCATTTATTTTAAGATGAAGGGAGTACTACTCTTTTCTAAAAAGTTGATCAAAATTATAAATTTTGACTTAGAACAAATGGTAGAAGTACACTTATTCACGGACGGAGGAAGTAGCCAGTTAGACAAGCTCATTGCCTTGTTCCCTGTCGCTCTCTCACAACAAACACACCGAAGAAAATCTTGGGATGGCAAGGACGAGATCGATCCGGCAGGCACGTGCAATTAACATGATAAGAAAGATTGATTGGTAAGTAGCCTACGGATCCCCTACAAGCCCACCCCCTACGGTACGAGCATTATCCTTGCTACGACCTGTCCCGTGTCTTCTGCGCAAGCACGTCTTCGTTTTTTTCTCTCCTGCTCTTCTTTCCTTCACCCGTGCTAGCACGTCTTCGTTTTTTTTTGGAAAAATCCTGATGTATTCATCTTCAATAATGACGGTACAACGAACATAAGAAATAATAATAAAATCTACATCCAAATTTATAGGTCACCTAGCGATAATTATAAAAACTGAAGCAAGCCGAAGACACGTCGTCGTCATTATCCCTTCCTCATCGAAGCCGAACGGAACTTGTTATAGTAGACATTTGTTTGCACGTCTTCTACACTAGCAAATATCCAACAGCAACTACAGCTCACATGGGCAGACCACTGCTCGTTTGAACAAAAGCATGTGTAACTTGTTGAAGTTGGCAAACATGCATGTTAGGATCCCGTACTACGGATGTGGCCACTGTTGTGTTGAGATCGCCCCTGATTTGGGTCGAAATCGAGTAGATACGGGGCCACAGAGACTAATTAAGATAGGAACAACTTTCCTCTTTCTTCTCATTTCCAGCTTGCGGCTTATACTGTATGTTCAGAATTACAGAGGTAAACGAAGAAGATAAACAGTGACTGGTGAGTTTGAATTGCATCGGGTAAAACGTCAATTGATCTAATTAAGTGTGAATCTGGACCGTCCGATTTATTATAACCCCTGGCATGACAGTCGTCGGATAACTGACGAACCGTTGCACACACATCTTCAGAGTTCGTCGGTTAACTGCAGTGTTCATTTCTTCAGAGATCTTCAGGGATCCTGACAATGCCACCAGTAGCTGGTCCCGTTTCTTGACATGGAAGAATTCTCAAACTTTATAAGATTGTTATCTTTCTCTTTTTTCTGTAAAAGGCCTTATATGATCGTAGGGATGAGAGCGTAAGAATTCGTTGAAATTTCTAAGAAATAGCTGTCCCTTTGTGGAAAATCTGTCATAAGAGTAATCTTTTTGTTTTATAATTTGCAGATTTATAAGTCTTCGTTCCTTTTCTTTTCTTTTATTTACCCGAATCTATGGCATCTCAATAGCACTACTTATTTATTTATTTACAATTCTGCATTCCAGAAAGAGACTCACTGTATCCGGAACCCTAAAGGCATCTTTGGATCCTTGGAACTAATCAACTTGAACAGAAAAATAAACTGATAATGATGTTATAGAAATACTACAAGTGCGCATAGAGTATGGGAACTCTGGAAACAGTTGTTTGGATACAACATAGAAAACACAGAAGATGCCGACTCCTATCCGAATGAGTGGAAGCGGAGGTTGGAGCGGATGCAAAGTCGATCCATAAGAATATCATAGTATCATCCCTCGTATATAAAGGATATAAAGGGGGCAAACAATCCAATGATTGCAGCCATAGGTTCTGCAAAAATCATATATACACTAAAATAAGACCTAAATTCTAAGGCATGGTTTATGAGAATCAGAAGACTGGTATTGGCAAATCATCGACGGATTCCCCAGCACAAATTGATTCTCTAAAACGTCTGAATTTTTCACACAGACAAATTGCACTGTTATATGCAAAAATCATGTGTTGTCTCCAATGTTGGTTGGATGACTTGCTGACCATGTCAATGTCATGCTTGCTTAATGATGATCATCCGACTAAACATTGTATTAAGCAAGCTATATGACATGACGGGAGTGGTTACCGCTTCCATGATTGTGTAATTAACAATGTATTATAGCACACAGTTTCGTTCGATGGCACACTAGTAATGGCGCTGTCAGGAAAGCAACTTACCAACCAAGTTACCAACCGGATGAACAGAGGAGCACAGGTGGATTAGCAGATGGTCACCTAACCTCGTCCGATGTCGCTCTCGCAACAACAGAGGAGTCACTCAACGAAATATTTGGGGCGACAAGGACTTTCAAATCCCAATGTCAGAAAGCCCACTGATTTTGATCTGAAACTGAAATTATCCACGAGATATCCTCACTGTCAGCAGACAAGCCAGGCCAATTTTGCTCCTGATCTTTCCTTGATGGCACTCCAATGTCAATTCAAGTTTATTTCATCACTCCCATATACATCCATAATTCGGTGCAAGCTTTTCTTTCCCCATATGGGGGAATCACTCTTGGCAGAAATACAAACTGGTATTACTACAGTAGGATACAACACAATGTATAAGACCAGCAAAGAACTGAAATTGATCATACATCACCATGGAGCAGAGCAAGCAAGGCATGTGGGAGAGGGGGGAGGAGGCTACTTGGGGACGGTGACGTTGTTGGGGGTGGGCACTGAGGGTGAGGGGGGCTTGCCCTCCAGGAGGAGCTGCCTCCGGTGCACGTCGGTGTGGTGGCTGGTGGTGGCAGTGCTGGGCGGCGAGGCCTTGCCCTCGAAGAGCTGCTTCCGGAGCACCTCGTGGAGGCCGTCGAAGAGCCTCTTCTTGACGGAGTCCATGGCGGACTCGAGGCGGTTGAGCAGGTCCGTCGAGTTCTTGTTGTACATGAAGAGGCCGTTGTAGAGGTCGAAGCTGTCGCTGCAGGTATTGTCCACGAGGCGGAGCAGCGTCTCGTAGCCCTTGGTGTTGATTGGGGTGGAGCTGAGCTCGAGCGTGGCGAGCATCCGGCCGACGGTGTGCGTGAGGAACTGCGTCTCGGCGGCGTGCGCGTCGTGCTCGGCGCAGCACATCTCCACCATGCGGCACCCCTCGCGCTCGAATATGTTGAGGAAGGCGTTGGCGCGGGCGCGGCGGGCCGGGGAGTCGCCGACGCGGACCCTGTCGAAGACGAAGGGGAGGCCGTCCCAGCCGTCGCGGGCCGACTCCGGGCCGAACATGGGGTGGGTGCAGAGGATGTCGAAGCCCTCCGGGAGGGAGGTGAGGAGGAGGTTCTTGGGGAACTCCTTGACGGAGAGGACGTCGACGAAGAGCGTGCTGCGGCGGAGGCGGTGGAGCGGGAGCGAGCGGAGCACGGCCTCGGCGGAGAGGATGGAGGTGGCGAGGAGGACGACGTCCGGGTGGCACTCGCAGAGGTCGTGCGGGTCCTGGAAGTAGGCGGCGCCGAGGGAGGCGGCGAGGGAGGAGTGGTCGGAGCGGGAGTGGGCGAGCAGCGTGTGGCCCTGCCGCGCGAAGGTGCGCGCCAGGAACTGCCCGAAGTTGCCGAACCCGACGATGGCGATCTTGAGGCGCTGCCGCTCCTCCAGCAGCCCCGCGGCGCGGGACTCGTAGTCGAACGGCTGGGCCGCGTCGATGGCGCGGATGGTGGCGCCGCGGGCGCGGACGGCGGCCCCGGCGGGGAGGTGGCGGCGGGGGGCCGCGGCGGGCGACTGGAATTGGCCGTAGGCCGCCGGGGCCGGCGGGCGGCGGCGGGGCCGGGCTGGTTGGTGGTGGTGGAGGCGGAGGGAGGGGGCCGTGGAAGACGACAGCATCTTGCCCCCCTCGCTCGCTTCCGCAGGCTGCTGCTGCCGCCGATTCGTCTGGGCCTCTGGTGTGTTGTGTGCTGTGTTCGGGTATGGGCTTCGCAGCGGGGACGGGGGGAATTTAGATGCGACGCTGCGGGCTCGTGTCGAGCAGCTTCTTCCCAACATGACCTCCAAACAAATGCTTTTTAGCCACATCCCCTCCAAACAAAAATGTTTATTACTCCCTCCGTTTTTATATACAAGGTCACAAACTCAGCTTACATGTATCAATGTACCCCCTCCGTTTCTAAATATATGTCTTTTTAAGGATTCTAATATGGTCTACATACGGAGAAAAATGAGTGAATCTACACTCCAGAATATGTCTACATTCATCCGTATGTAATCCATATTTAAATCTCTAAAAAGACCTATATTTAGAAACAGAGGGAGTAAAATTTAGTGCATGCTTCGCAAGTCATCGTTTCCTTACATTTACTGAGATCATTAATAAGCTGGATGAATGCAAGCAAATTAAGTGGAAGAAGTAGCTAACTGTCATTATGACCGTATACATGCAAGTATTAAATGGGTTGCTAGTACGAGAAAATATTATTAATTTTGCCTCGATTACTGTTGATGGCCTTGTATAGATGCAAAATGAATATTTCATAGTGACCTTGTATAACTAAATGGAGGGAGTACTACAAGCAAGTGAAGCAACATGATCTCTTGAGATAATGATGAATTGGAGCATCTCCTGCCATATTAGGACGTTTTTAGGGCATGAAGTGGCAAAAAACATCCTCCGATGCTGCGGGCTTTGCCGCCACCCCCATTTAGCCTCCGACCGCGTCGCGGCCGCCGCGTCGATTCGCTGCCAATTCGCCGCGTCTACTTGGTGCCCTAGCGGTCGCAGGAGCTCCATAGCCGATCATTCCGCCGCCACGCCGAGCGGAGCTCCAGTGACATTTGGGAAGCAACGATGGCGTCTCCAAGTTCTGGATGCATAGCCTGCTTCCCCATGTCAAGGAGCACTTCTGGTGGTCGTTGCCCACCCCCTCCCAGTATTCGCAAGCCACCGACGACTCGCCGGCTGGATTTCTCCTCCTTGCACACTAGGTGTCCGATGAAACATCTATAAAGGTAAAAAAAGTCCATTTGCGTTTGCATTTGTAGAATTATAGCTTGATGGATAGTTTTGTATTGTAGACGAGTTATACGACTCCAACTATTACGATGATTCCTCGTCAGATGAGGAATTTGATTCGACCGAGGAGGAAGATATTGCTATGATTGTGATTATGCACAACAAGAGGCCGAAGCACGGAGCTTCGGTTATTAGTTGTGAGTTTCTATGGAGAGAACGGAAAGAGGCAGGCAACCGATTGTGGCGCAACTACTTTACCCCAAGACCTCACTATCCAGAGAGGTACTTTCAATGCCGGTTTAGGATGTCCACGTGCTTACTTCTTCACATTTGCAACGCTGACAAACAACATGATCAGTACTTCATTCAAATGAGGAACTGCGTCAGAGCTCTTGGACATAATAACGAGCAGAAGGTTACTGCCGCATTGCGCATGATGGCATATGGTATTCCGACAGATTCTATTGATGACAACTTGGCAATGGGAGAGACTACTTCAATCTTCTTTGTCAAACAATTTGCGAAGGCGGTTGTGGAAGTGTTTGGTCCAAAGTACTTGAGAGCACCCAATGCTCAGGACATGACGAGACTATTGGAGATGAACAAGGACCGTGGCTTTTCGGGCATGCTTAGCTCCATTGATTGCATGCACTAGAATTGAAAGACCTGCCCTACACATGACAGGGACATTACAAAGGACACAACAAGGATGGAGCCATCATTCTTGAGGCAGTGGTCGACCAGGAGACATGGATTTGGCATGCCTACTTTGGAGTGCCTGGATCTTGCAATGATATCAATATGCTGTATCGATCTCCTCTATTCACCAGGTTAGCCAATGGGGAACAACCACCGGTGACCTTTCAAGCAAATGGTCGCATGTACAACTTTGGCTATTACCTTGCAGATGGGATTTATCCAAGGTGGGGTACTTTCATCAAGCCAGTTTCAAAACCCCAAGGTGAAAGAACTTTACTTTCATAATGCTCAAGCAGCTGCTAGAAAAGATGTGGAGAGGGATTTTGCAAACCCAATTTGCTATTGTGCAAGGACCGGCTATGTTTTGGGATAAATATATTCTATGGTACATCATGATAGCCCGCATGATCTTACACAATATGGTCACTGAGAACAGGCTTGAACAAGATTTGGACCATAGCACGTAACCTCATGGGGATCCCGATTCGGCGGTGTCGGGTGGAAGATCGACTCCATCACTTTATTGAGGTCTATGATGAGATTCGAGATGCCGATACACACGAAGATCTCCAAAAAGATGTGATGGAGGAGTGGTGGGCATGGCATGAGCGACAACAAGCGTAGTTTGCATCTCTATGTTTCATTTGTGTGCTAAACTTTGTTGTTGAGCTTCATGTAGGGGGTTGGGTGCGACATATGCCAAAGGATGGCTTATCATGGTGGGAGCGAGTAGAACGTCGCCGGTGCCCGGAAGCGGGATGAGGCGTAGACACGAACGTCGGCATACTTTACCGAGGTTCGGGGCTCTCCTAGGAGATAACACCCCTAGTCCTGCTCTGCGAGGTCTCTGCATGATCACTAAGGCACTAGTGGATATAATGGTGCTCCTAGAGCTGTATGCTAGAGCTAGAAGAAGCCAGGCACGCTCTCTCCTTCCTCTAGGTATGAATCTAGTTCTAACAGGTTGGGAACCCTTTGCATGGGTGCCCCTGGGGGGTTTATATAGGCCTACCCCCAGGGGTACAATAGTAATCTAGCCGGGTGTAGGACCCGGCTGTCAGTGTCTCTAGTCGCCGGCTTCTCCGCCGGCTGCTGGGGCCCGCCTCCTGGTGGGCCCTGCCGACCGGTCTGGTACGGAGCCGACAGGCCGCTCCCACCGCTTGTGGGTCTTGCCAGCTGCTGGTTACTGTAGCTGTGATACTAATGACGTGTACTTGGTCAGGGAAGCGTGGCTATAGTCTCGCCGACTGGTGGGAGATCACTGTAGCCACTCCCTGTCTCATCTGGTTAATAGCGCACGGGCCCCGAGGGAGGAGGGGGCCACCTGCTGGAAGCCGGCCTTCCTTGGTTCCGACTGGTCAGGCCTCCACCATCCTCCGGGCTCTCACTGCCCAGTAGGGCCCGCCGCCTGTAGGCCGTACCGAAAGGTCGTCGTGGGAACAGGGCTCCGTCTGCCAGTAGTGAAGTCAGGGGTGGAGTGGCAACAGTGACGCGCCGGGCGGAAATCTCCGCCTGTACGGAGCACTGTGGCCACGCCCGGCCCTGGATACGGGGGTGATGGGCTACATTGTAGCCTCACCCTGTCTTGTCTTCTTAACGGGGCGCAGACTCTGAGGGCGCCATGGGCCGCTTACTAGAAGCCGACCTCTCTGGAGGCCGCCTACAAGGAGTCGGCCCGTCTTGGTGCCGCCTTCTGGAGCTTAGCCGCCTTCTGGCAGCCGACCGCTTGGGCCAGCCGGCCATCAGAAGGCGGCCCTTCATATTGATGTCCTGAGGGGCACAACCGGCCCCGATATCTTGAAAGGTTCAGGGACTCGGGTTAGGCTACCCGTGGCCCATTATGTTGGGAACGTAGTAATTTCAAAAAATTTCCTACGCACACACAAGATCATGGTGATGCATAGCAACAAGCAGGGAGAGTGTGTCCACGTACCCTCGTAGACCGAAAGCGGAAGCGTTAGCACAACGCGGTTGATGTAGTCGTACGTCTTCGCGATCCGAACGATCAAGTACCGAACGCACGGCACCTCGGGGTTCTGCACACATTCAACTCGATGACGTCCCTCAAACTCCGATCCGGCCGAGCTTTGAGGGAGAGTTCCATCAGCACGATGGCATGGTGACGACGATGATGTTGCTACCGACGAAGGGCTTCGCCTAAGCACCACTACGATATTATCGAGGTGGATTATGGTGGAGGGGGGCACCGCACACGGCTAAGAGATCCAAGAGATCAACTGTTGTGTCTCCAAGGGGTGCCTCCCTCCCCGTATATAAAGGAGTGGAGGAGGGGGAGGGGGCCGGCCACCCTAGGCGCGCCCCATGAGGAGTCCTACTCCCACTGGGAGTAGGACTCCCCCCCTTCCAAGTGGGAGTAGGAGAGGAGAGGGAAGGAGAGAGAGGGGAAAGGAAAGGGGGGGGGGGCGCCGCCTCCCCCTCCTTGTCCAAATCGAACTGGGGGGAAGGGGGCGCGCGGCTGCCCTTGGCCGCCCCTCCTCTTCTCCACTAGGGCCCAATAGGCCCATTAGTCTCCCTAGGGGGTTCCGGTAACCCCCCGGTACTCCGGTATATGCCCGAAACTCCCTGA